CATTGCAAATCGATTCACACAAATATTCGTCATCTATGTGTATCTTTGGATTGTATTCAACTTTTCTAGATTGGATCGACGAAGAAATAAAATCTTGAACGTTTATTTTTTCATATTGCCATCGTTTGTTTATAGCATACATGTATGTTCATCAATGTTTTGCATTTAAACGTGTTTCACCGATCATCTTGCCATAGTTTCTTCTTTACTTGATATTGATATGCATTCATATGTATATGCAGACAACAAAATTGACTCTTTTCAAATGTGCAATATTTGTGTTGACTTAAATAAGGAGAGGAGCTTTGTCATATGCATTCATTCATGCACACGATATTTCGCTGTTGACACGAGAACAAGTGTCGTTGAAAAAGANCATGTATGTTCATCATTGTTTTGCATTTTAACGTGTTTCACAGATCATCTTGCCATAGTTTCTTCTTTACTTGATATGCATTCATATGTATATGCAGATAACAAAATTGATTCTTTTCAAATGTGCAATATTTGTGTTGACTTAAATAAGGCGAGAAGCTTTGTCATATGCATTCATTCATGCACACGATATTTCGCTGTTGACACGAGAACAAGTTTCGTTGAAAAAGACAAAAACAGATTTTGCTGTATGATACAATGTTTTTGATGCCAAGATCGATCTTGGCGATGTCGATATTGAATAGAATGATGATGAAAAGTTTCACTCTTTCGGCCGAATCGAATTATTGTCGAATGAAGTACCAATTGATAGACGCAAGATTGGATGGGAACGACATTGAAATATGATAGTTCGGTTGAAAATCAAACATATGTGATCGGAAATTTGCTGGTTCATATTGTATTCATATAGGTTGATTGAATCGAAAGTGCCAAGTGTTAACAAACACATACATACATACATACGTATATGAATGTAAAGAATAAGAATTTGTAACTAATCTACTATTGACTTCCTCTTTTGGTCATTATCATCGTTAGAGGCAGCAACAGCAGTACAATAAGATAGAAGTGAAAATTCGCCTGAATGCTTCAAAACAAGGTAATCTATCTATACGTGTGAGAATGCATGTATTTAGTTCAGTTGAAAACTTCATTCGTTTGTATTCTATCTATATTCAAGTTCGACGATGGATCTAATGATGACAAGGAGAAATAAATTCGAATCGAAGCAAAATAAACAAGCAAGTGAAGATTTCTAGTCAAATCGATCAGGAACGACTGTCTTCATAGATTTACTCCATTATATGCATAGCATGTGTCTATGATTGCTATTTAGATGTACAGAATATATCTATAGATGTTGTTTGTGTAGTTGTCGTCATATATAGTGAAATAGTTGTTACTGCGATACTGTAAGATGCGATAAAATAAAAATGTCAAGAAATTTATGTTCATGTCAAGTTCGATGAAAATGAGACGTTAGAACGAGGTATTGTTGAGGACGTTATTTACTGAGTATGTATATGTGTACGTGCATGTGCATTTGAGCTGGTAAGAGAAAAGAGACTTATGTTAAGGACGTACTACTACGTAGTTCACGTTGTGCAGTCATCCATTGAACTAGATGTCAATTAATATATGGAAATCGAAGATGCGATAATGTCGAAGAAAAAGATTTGCTTC